TCTAAGCTTCCAGTTCTCTCTTTTGATTTTATAGTGGAGTGGCCAGATTGCTTTTGTCTTCAGGAGTTCCCACAGAGGCCCAAGTCAGATGAGGATCAGATGTTCTCAGGCTTTCTCCTAAAGTCTGGATCCCTCCAGAATAGATTTTGGCCTCAGGAATTTTGTGGTTGGACTGGCCAGGGAGCCAGGCCCAGGAAAGATGCTGGTCTAGGACAGCTGGTGGCTGTGCCACCCAGAGATGCAAAGAATGATGGGGGTGGGAAGTGGCCCCAAGGGCCCCTGAGGACTGCACTGAGGAGCTGGATTGTTCTGGATGCAAAGGACCAGGAAGAGGAAATGTCAGCCCCTGTGTCCAGGAAAGAGGCTGGCAAGTTGTGCAGACCCAGGGAGGCAGAGGGAGGTGAGGGCGGGGCCAGGCCCAGAGCGCCTCTGGGGATCTGAGAGGGAACTGAGTTTCTCTGGATGCACAGGATCAGGAAGCAGTGGTGGTTCCCCAGGTGTCTGGGGTGCCAAATCAAGGAATGGGACAGGACCCAGACTAGGAGTTGACACGGGCCAGGGAGGTGGGAGGCTGAGTGAGGCTAGGGGGGTCAATGCAGGAGGGCAGGATAGACTTACCCCAGAGAGAGGAGCCTTCAGGTCGGATAGAGCTATTGACTTCTTTTATATCATAAATTACACAACTACAAAATGAAAATTCTGTTTTTTAAATAATATCTTAGTTGATTCTTTGAGAACTTCATACCAGGTAGTTTGATCATATTCAGACTCTCCTCTTTTGTGGTGGTTTTAAAAGAAAGTATTCCACAGGCTCCTAGTTTTTGAGCATTTTGTCCCCAGTTGGTGGCGCTGTTTTGGAAGGTCTCAGAAGGTGTGGCCATGCTGGAGGAAGCACTTCGCTCTGAGAGAGCTTAGAGAGCTCTTAAGCCTTGCCAGATCTTCATTTGTTCTTTGGTTCCTGTGCCTGCTTGAAGATGTGAGAGTAGTTCCTGCTCCAGCTCCAGTCACTTCCTGCCACCATGCCTCCCGTTATGGTGGATTCTTGCCCCTTCAGGAACTGTAAAAGCAGATAATCTCTTCCTTTATAAGTTCCCTTGGTCATGGTGTTTCTATCACAGTAACAGAAAAGTAGCTAATACAATTATCAATGAACTAAATCTCAATTTCATTGGCTTCTATACATCATTAATCACACAACTTCAAAATGAAAACAATTCTCTCTTTTTAAAATAATATATTGATTGGTTTTTTGAGAACTTCATACAATGTAGTTTGATCCTACTCTGACCTCACTCTTTCATAACCCTTCCCTATCTCCTCTCAAACCCACCCCCACATCATTAGCCACCTTACTTCATGCCTTCTGATAGTGTTTAGGAATTACTTAGTCTAATTTGTATTCCCAAAATGTTCTTGGGTGTGGATTCATATCCTGGAACCCAGTCAGCCTACCTGGCACAATTCCATACTGCCTTGGCCTCAATCTTGTAATAGAGCCTCATGCTATCCAAACATTTCACTGCCCTCTTGACTAATTCTCAGGTTCTTTTATATCCATTTCTTTTTTCTCACTGATCAAAGTCTCATGATCTCCTTTCTGTGGAGGCATTTTTTACTTAACTTCTTTTGCTAAAAGGTTTTTTGAAAGCTGGGTGTGTAAAACTGGCCAGAATGTTCACTGATCTGATCCTAACTGGACCCTTTGTCCACTGCTCATTGTTGTTATTATTTAGCTCCCGTCAAACCACACATGAAAATCATTCCCCTTCCACTTCTTACAGGGTATGACTATGCAGCTCAGGCTGGCATTGACTCCAAGAGCCTCCTGTTTGCATGTCCGAAATTCTAGGTTAGCCTATACCACTATACACAACTGAAAAAGTGTTTTTATTCTCTCTAAGCTTTCATGTGAAAATCATATATATATATATATAATACAAAATATAAAATACATATATAACATATATATTTTTTAAACACAATGGAATATTTCTTTTATAGTTAAATATATGTATACAACACAGGAACTCTGTGACATATGTCTACTATACATTGTTATTAATGTCACATTACTGTTGTACATTTGTCAGAATAATGGGCCAAGTTAATTTGCTTAAGAGCTGCTTTTTCCCACTTCCTGTACTGTACTCTTTAAAGATAATTTACTATGTATAGTCCACAAAATACCATGGGGCATATATTCCAATTTGTTGTTATGGAGTATTTATGAAACTTTTTAGAATTTGTTTAATTTGTATATTTTCTCTAATTATTTGCTTATTAAATAGTTTTTTCCCCCTACAGTGACTTTTCTGATATAGGGCCCCATTTAGTAAATCATTTTCAGTTCTGTGATTCATTCTCTCTCAGTCTCTCTCTCTCTCTCTCTCTCTCTCTCTCTCTCTCTCTCTCTCTCTCCCTTTTCTCTTTGTCTTTGGTCTTTTTGAGACAGGGTCCCACAGTTGGCTTGGAACTAGTTATGAAAGCCAGAGTGACATCTATCTCACAGAAATGTGCCTGCCTCTGCCTCCTAAGTTCTGGGATTAAAGCTGTGTGTCACTATGGGAAGCTCTCCTTTTTTTTGTCTGTTTGTTTGTTTTAGTCTTGAGTACTTAAACAGATTTTAAGAGTACTCACTAGATATTTTATGGCATTTCCTTCTCATAATGTCCCCTCAGTTTTGAAATTTATGACTTTTTTTTCCTCAAGACTAATGAGTTTATGAATTTGGAGGAGGTAGAATACTGAGATAAAGAATCTTTCCTATATTCTATGTATATGAATATGTTTTAATATTAACATTATTGATGTTGAGCACCTGCCTGAGCAACATCAGATGTATTCACTGTGAAGTTTCATATTCTCTCTTCCTGTATTGCACTCTTAGAGAAAAAGGCACTGCACTCTTAACAAATGGGATTTGCATCTCCCCTCCCCACCGGGATGAACATCTACATAAATAATTTGAGAATCCTTTGCTTTGGATTTTTATCTGTTTGCTCCAATTCATTTATTAATAAAATAGTTTATATTAGTTTGAACTCATAACCTCATGTATCAGGTTATAATTCAAGATTATATTATTTAACCCATTGCACAAAATTCTTGCAATTTTCTATTCTCAACTCTTTTTCCAAAATCACAATTGGCTCTCTTTACTTTTTTTTAGTTTAAGAGAAAATTTATCAATTCAAGAATCTTTCTCAATGAGAGGGAACTTTTATGTGGCCCCATAAACATAATCAAATACACATGACTGGAGAAGTCATGGAGCCTAGAGAAAAACCCTGTGTCTGTCACATCCCTAGACAAATGTAATTCCGTGTGGCATGAAAAATATATATCCTTATATTTACAAACAAGTATACCAGTCACCACTCATCAAAGAAGCTACATTGTGCAATAGATGAAGTCTATTACAGAATTCTAAAACTGGTTACACACAGAGAACAAGTGTCTGTGAGATGCCCTGCCCTAATTGACATATCTACAATGTAACCTCAATGCACAAGGCTCCCAGTACATGGTGGAACAGGGGATACAGAGAATACTCATGCATTTCTCATCTCTCACAAGTGAAGCTTCCTCATGCAACAGAGGGTGATGGACACAGAAAGCCAAAACTGGCCAAAGTGTAGAGAATAAGATACTGCAGTGTTTATGTCTTGGGATAGGAATCTATTAAACCTCATCAACACAGGGCTCAGGGACCACTAGGGAAGTGGGAAGAGAAAGACTGTAATAGCCTAGGGTGGTACATGACCAATAGGAAACAGTCCCTAGGTTTCTAGGGACTTGTTCATATGAACTTACAGCAATGGAGACAGTATGCACAAGACCCATGCAAACTCAAATGAAACAAAAACCAACATAGAATGGAGGAAATGGACAGAAGGCCCCTGCCAGTTTGTGTGAGTGGCTAGGCCACCATGGCTCCAACATATTGGCTCTCCAATTACTCCCCACTTCCCCGTCAAGACCTGAGTTCAGAACTTTGAGATCAATATGGAAATACTGTGATTCTTAATGTAATCAAGTCATGTTTAAGTCCTTGTGCTGAGTCATCATTACTGCCTTTGCTCTTGCTGCATCATCATCTTGGCTCTCCAATTATTTTCTTACTTGCCAAGACCTGAGTTCAGAAGTTTGAGATCGCACAGAAGTGTCTGTGGTCAGGTAAATATTTATCTTGTGCCATAAGGTTCCTCACATGGTACATTGTACGCATGGAGTCTCTTGGGAGTCAGTACACCCTGGGCTGCCTGCCTGTGCCCCACGCCTATAGGCACATTCCTATGTAACCTCTTTTCTATCAACACTATCACTTTGAGCTGATTGTCATATTGTCTTGTATGTATCAAAACTGACACTGAACAATGAGTTCTGGGTTGCAAGAGAGAATTTATTTTTGCTCCTGTGTTTCATGCCTTTGTCCAGTTGAACACACACACACATACACACACACACACACACACACACACACACACACACTCACAGAGTACTTTGGTTTGATTTTCTTAATGTGTATTTGTGTGTTGTGTGCGTGCATATGTGTATTTGTGTTCTCATATTTTGGCAAACGTGCATAGGAGTAGGTGCATGTGCACATATGTGTGGGTGCATATAGAATCCAGAGACTGACTTCAGGTATTTTCTGCAATTGCTTGTCACCTTATACACAGAAGAACAGCATCTCTCACTGAAGCTGGAGCTCAGATATTCACTAGTCTACGCAAAAATGTTGCTCTGAGGATTACATGTATCCATTCCCCGAATGCTCAGTTTACAAGCCTGACACCACACCCACTTGGCATTTACAAGAATGATGTAAAGCTTTTATGCAGCTAGTATTTTGACCACTAAGCAATTTTTAGTCACCAGTAAGACATTTTAAAAATAATTTCCAACGTTTTAAAACTAAGATCCTTCACAATCATCAGAATAATTATGTAATGTAGATGTCATTCTTCCTTTACAATGGAAAAGGAGATAACTGAAAGATGAAAACCTTGCTCAAACTTATAACACCCCTAAAATATGGATAGCCAGTTAGTAAATATCCAAAATCAGATCTTTTCCAATCTAATTCCAGGCTCTTGTTAATCATGGTTTTATGAGTAATTTAGAAACAGACAAACCCAAACTAAAGTCAAACGTCCTTGTCTTAGTAATTGGACACTCCTAAGCAATTTGTGAATTTCCATACAATTAAATAATAAAACATGTTTTACAGTCATAAAGTACAGAAAACATGCTATTGGCATTTACACTCCCAGGTTGTCCCCAACATATAACATGATACGTCCATTTATTTATTCTTTAGGATGGCTGGCAGAAAGAATTTCAAAGCCTCATGCATTTTTGTGCTGACTGGCATGTTGTTCAGGTTTTTGACATGCAGCAGGTTACAAGACATGAAGACACAATCACGCAAATGAAGGATGCATTCCATAAAGAAGGCAAGAGTCAGGTAAGCAGATACAAAATTTACACGGGATGGAGACAAACAACGCTGAGGACAGAGTGAGAGCGATTATTTTATGAGCCAAAGAAACTTTATATATACACTTGATAGAAGTATAAAATGGAGACTGGAGTATAAGATATGTATGAGATTATAAAATAATGGGGAGAGTGTTCCTGTAGAGTTGTAAACTTAAAGGCCCTAAGTCATAAACATGCCTGGCCTGTGTGAGGAGTGTAAGGCCTGTGGTAAGGACATAGAAGACAACCAGGGAAACCAAGAGGCATATTATGTTTCACAGTGGAGGCAATGGTGAAAGTATTGGTTTTCATTCTAAATGTCACTGGAATGTTGCACCAATCCTAGCCCCTGACAACGATTTATAAAACCAAAGGTACATATGCAACTAATATGTAGAACAAAGTGACTTTTAAAGATAATGGGAAGGGCACAGTAGTATACATGTAAAAGGAAAATCTGATTATATAAATATCTCAAATTAACAGCAGCTGTAATTCTCTAAGAGAGGCCAATGAGGAATTTCTGACCAAACTTTTTACATGAAAAAGTCCAGCATCAAGCAGAAATGTCTTCATTTAAACTTAACCTTAGAAGGTACTGGATAAATGGCAAAGAATGACTTTGGCGTGAGAAGCTAAGAAGCAGTCATAAGAAGACATTCATCAAATGTGCTCTCAGGTATGATTTCTTGAAGGGTAAGTGAAGTATTTACTGATGAGTAAATAATTTTAAAGAATGTATAATTTGAACCACACCTTGAAGAATAAAGATGAGAAGTGACAGTCAGGAAGGGGGAAGTCCATCTGACTCATTGTTAAGAACATCAGAAAGTCAGTGAACCCTCAGGCTACACACAGAGCAGGATCAGGTGTAAAAATCGCAAATGGAATGTGTTCTTGTGTGTATTGAGGTTTCTGCTCTTTGAAATTTAGAAAGGCTGGATATAAGTAATAATAAGCCTTATATTCCAGCCTAGTTTGGATTGCAGAAGGCATCAGACAACTATGAAACATGTTCTTAAAATACTTGGTTAAATCTTTGAGAATTCACACAATGCATTTTAATCATATTACCCCCTCTCAACACCTCTAGATCCACCCTCAACACCTCTAGATCCACCCACACCTTCCTTTACACCCAGCTATGCCCTCCTGCCATGGAGTTCAATTTGTGTTGTCTAAATAGGGTGTGGACCCTACCTTGAAGCATGGCTCACCTACCAGGGGTCACACACTTGGGGGAAATTCTCTTTCCCTTCTTAGCTGCTATCAAATGCCAACAGCTTCTCAGCTAGTGGCAGAAGTTGATTCCTACCTCCACCCTCCATGCTGGAGTAATGTCTGACTGGAGTTTACACAGGTCTTGGGCAGGCTGTCACAACTGTTGTGAGTTCATATGTGCAAATGTACTCCTGTCTGAAAAATACCATTTCCTTGTAGTCATCCACTGCCTCTGGCTCTTGGAATCTTTCCACTCCCTCTTCTAAGAGGATCCATGAGAAATGGAGAGAAAGTTCTCATATAGCTGGCCCATTTAATGCTGAGCAATAGGATATCTACAGTATCTTATTATCTTCATGTTGACCAGTCCTAGGGACCTTAAGACACAGTCTTCCTGCCTCCCCACCTGAGACATGTTTTTTTTTTAAACATTTCATTTCTTATATTTATTTTATATGTATAAGTGTATTGTCTGCATGTATATAAGTGTACCTGTATTGCGTAGTGCACTCAGAGGTAAGACAAGGGCACTGCACATCCGACTCCCTGGAACTGGAGTTACAGACAGTTGTTACTTGCCACTGGGTGCTAGAACTCAAACTCAGGTCCTCTGCAAGAGCAGCCAGTACTCTCAACAGCTGAGCCATCTCTCCAGCCCCTGTAGAAATGTTTTTAAGAAGCAAAAGCTTCTGAATTTATGTTCCGAAATTATTCCTTTTAAAACAGTGATAGACTGAAAAGTGTTGAAATTGAATGCCAAAGGCCATTGTCTGCTGTGGATGTTACTGTTCAGTAAATATTAATTGTGTTTCCAAAACAACTATTTCTTTTTTCATTTTCTAGGTAATTGATGTACTTCTTTTGTATTTTTTCTCAGCCTGCCAAATAGAATTTGCTGTTTATCACAATAATATGGTTGTATTTACATACAGATAATTCTATGATAAAGACTTACTAGACTTCAAACAGCATTTTAGCATAAAATTGGGGGTGCTACATGACCTAAGTGGCATTTTCTTTTTTCCTCTTTACAAAGGCAGCAAAAGTAAATCTCTCTCTCTCTCTCTCTCTCTCTCTCTCTTTCTTTCTCTCTTTCTCTCTTTCTTCTCAGTGTGAACTTAAGACACTCAGGACTGGGGGGAGAGGATCTGCACGGTGAGAATGGAACATATGCCATTCTGAGAAAGGGATGGTTTCTGTCACACTTCAATTTCTGCAGCTTATTTGTGAAGTTGATTTGAGAAACCAGCCTGTGATTCTCCTGTCATTTAGCAAGAGACATATGCCACACATCACCAAATATTGCACCCTAAATGGCAAGTCACTGTGAACAATAGATCTCATTTCTTTTCCCTCAACCATTTCATGAAAAAAACTCTACTGTTCATTATTGCATGAAGAGGGATACAAAATCAAGAGGAATGGAAAGTATCTTTGTATACTCTTCTGAGGTGGCTATATGAAATTCAGTATTGAAAATGACATTTTAATACTTCCTTTTATTCAACATGTATTGAAAACATGCTATGTGTCAGTCACTACCAACATGAGAATAACTTAGAGTTACTATACCTATATGTCTAGCAAAGGAAGCAAAGAAAACATTCATGTAGAAGATAAAAATAATTGGGGATGGAAAGATGGCTCAATGGTTAAGAGAAGTTGCTGCTCTTGTAAAGAACCTGAGCTTGTTTCCTAGTACCGACATGGCAGCTCACACCCATCTGTAACTCCAGTTCCAGGGTATCTGACTCCTTCTTTTGCCTTGTCAGGCATTGGATGCTTGTGGTGCACATACATATATGCAGGCTAATATTCACATACATAACTTTTAAAAAAGATAACAATAATTGCAGGGATGCAGAGATGGCTCAGCGGTCAAGAGCACTGGCTGCTCTTGCAGAGGACGTGGGTTTGTTCCCAGCACCCACGTGGAGGCTATGAACCATCTTTAACTCCAGTTCCAGGGGAATCCAAAGCTCCCTTCTGACCTCCACGGCATTGCATGACACGGTGCACTCACATCCATGCAAGCAATACAATACATTCATACACATAAAATGAAAATAATAAATAAAAAACATTTTAAAAGAATAAATAAAATATAAAAAGATAATAATTGCAAAATATTGTGATTGAGTCTCTAATCTGTGTCTAAAGAAAACCTAAGAACTTTGGTAATAAAAGTGACAATGTTTAATGATAAAAAAGAGACATTATATTGATGATATTGTCATAATCATTTATACTTGTTTAATTGCAAACTCCACATCAAACAGCTATGATAGGAGGTAGTATTTCAAGTGCAGCTTCAGACTTTGTTCTACTTCTTTATAATTCCAAACTGTCTTCAGCAACTAGAGTGTGATGAGTTATATGATTCCTAAAACAAGTTAATCCTGGATAAGAGAAATTTTTGAGAATTTCATACTTCAGCACTATATTTATAGCATTTTACCCCCTCCTACTCCTTCCTTCAACTCC